ATGTTTTTTAAAAATGCTGATCTTATTCGGGGAATAAGGGGCCTTTTTGTTTGCCAAAAAATATAATAGGAAAACATAAAGGCCACCTGTGTCAGCCCACCCTATAATACAACATGAGCTATAAGGGCATTTGGAAAATATTTTCAAACTGAGATGAGGGTGAAAAAAATCACTATCATCACAGATTCTAAGCAGATGCAAAAGGCTTCTGTGCATGTTAGTGATTGTGTGTGGCCTACATGGGCTCATTTCACACGCCTCCAAAACTCAGCACACATTCCTCTTTATAATCTACTCGTGATTAAAACTGCAGCTCATATGAATCGACTTTAACAATGGACACAAACACAAGGTACAGTAATCAGGGCCAAACCAGCTGCATTTTCCTGTTCATGGATAGCTTTTTGATCCCTAAATGTCTACTAAATTCTATCAGACACTTTGATATCTGTCCACATTTAATATTTCGACAGTTGTATATTGCAATTACTTTGTTAGGAAGTTCCATGCATCTGACAGTCTTGGTTTATCAGAACTGAAGGTGGCAGTGGCTTACTCATGCACAGCAAGGAGACAAAAGGGAACTCCGAGCACTCCCAGAGTTACATCAGATTTTCTTCCATGGAGTGAAGCTAACATGAAATAGTGGAATTACTGAGAGGCAGATAAGTAAAATAAACAATTAATTTCATACAGTGAGGCCGGGAGGGCATCACATGGACCTCATTCTGCTGTCTCCAAATTCTCTACCAGAGGGGAAAGGGAGCTGAATAAACTTTCAACTCTCATGTAGGGACGTATTGCTTGTGCGTCCCTGGCAGATGTGGAAAGGAGATGAAATGGGAAAGGGAGAATCAAATATCCCTTCGCTGCAGGTTTGCTGAGGGAAAGAGCACTGCAAAGTCTCACATCTGGCAATCATTTGTCAATGGCTGGAGAGAGAACGGCAGGAAACTTTCTGGCTCTTGGAGAAGATGAAAAGACAAAAACCATGTGTCACACACACACACACACACACACACACACACTCGCAATGGTGCAGTGACTACTAATCTTATCCCCCCACCCCAATTTAATGATCATCAGAGACACTCAACCCTATGGTCAGAAACATGCAGTCACTTGACTTGTTAAAGCTGCAGTGTACGTACATTTTTCAAATAAACCCCAGGGCTGATGTTAGAAAATCAAAATCAGTCAAGCATAGACCGCCTGGCACTTTGGGCAGGAATCCTTGTGGTTTAGTCAATAAACACAGTCTGAATGAAAGACACCACAGTAACTAGACAGTAACGTTTTGAACAGTTCTTACCCTGAAAGGGGCTTGGGGGTCTGGAGCGCAAGTGACCAAGGACGTAAGGCTACCAGGCCACTGCAGTCACCATGCCTGCAAGAGAACTCTGCTCGGCACAAGGCCATCTGTTGTTTCTAACAGAAGACACAGGCAGGCAGGCAGGCAGGCAGAGAGGCAGGAGGAGAGAATGAACATCTACTTGGGAATGTCGTGGGTGTACGTGGGGAGCACACAGCTTTTATAAAAATTAATAAATAATTATGCCTATTTAAAAAGGTGGTAAGGGAAACCTCAGATTTGTTTAGTACACACTAGTGTTAACAATACAAAGAATTTGCTGGCTTCATTGTGACTTCATAAAAATGATCAGCTTTGCCCCGATAGGTTTATCATGTAATAAAAGTTTCCAAGAACTCCCCAGGCAAAATTAAGTTCTCCAAAATCACAGGGATCTCTATCTGCTCCTGGTGGTAGACAGACTTCCGGGGGGCAGCTTCTGGTGCACCCTCATGTTACATTTGACCAGCAGCAGCGGCCTCAGAGCTCATCCCCACAATGCTGCAGGTTGTTTAATAACCTGGCAAATTCACAGTAGCTTGTCAAATTATTACAGGAACAGTGTCATCACTAAACAAGCCTGATCACGGTTAATTACAATGCAGACCAGAGAGCAGCCACAATTGTTCATTAATTACAGGAAGCACCTCATTTAAATTTTATGGAAATTTACACTTGCACCCCAGTATGTCTGGAAAAAAGTGATCCTTCATGCATTTACAGAAGAAAGGAGTCTGTGGTTTATGAAACATCACAGCAAATTGTGTCTAATCTGGTTCTGAAATATTGGTTTATTATTTACTCTAATTTTCTAAGCACTTCAGTGGTAAAAAATACGAAGTCCAACCTCACATCCTGGATTCCCAACCAAGAGTATGCTAAACTAACACTGACAACTTAATATATTATAAGGCACAGTTACACTAAGAAAGTTAACTTTTCTCTGTTTAAAAAATAAAATATTTAGCAGCAATTAAGGGAGGTCTAAAGTAGAAAAACCGTTTCCTAGCAGATAGTTGCCTAAGAATACAGTTCTTTACTACTACACTTCAATTACCTCCCAGGTAAAGAGCACCCAGTTTCACACCTGTAACAAAAGAAACTGAAGAAAATAAAGTTAGCAATTCAAAGTCTTGATTTCCAGCTATTTTACAAAATCAAACATTACAGAAAAATAGAGCAGATATCCTCACAAAGGTCAAACCATACACACACCTGAGTGATAAGTCATTCAAAACCAAAATATCTACATGGAATAGTGGTGATCTGGGGATTACTACATTACATTGCTACTAAAATGAAGCTTTCGGCAAAAAAGTCAAAGGTTCTAAAAGAAGAAAATTAGTAGCAGGAAGATGCCATCACAATCGTTAGAATTTATGGCAGCTAAAATATAAAACTAAGCCAGATATGAGGGTTACAGACATGTCCAAAGGAAAATCCTTTGTAAGAAAAGGTATCCAAGAAACCACTGCTCCTAAATTGAGGAGAACAGGAGATTATCATCAGAATCCAGAGGACGAGGAGCCAACCCTCTAGTGGTTCAGTGCCTGCCCCTAGAGGAAGGCCGAAGATCCAACCAGAAAAAACGGACAACTCTGGCAAGTGCTAAGGACATTTTGAGTCCCCTGACATGCCAAGCTAGAATAAAAATGTAGCAATGGCTTGTTCCCCAGGACTTAGAAAAGGAGCCAGACACCATGGCAAGAATGCAATGAGACAAAGCTAAAAAATACTCCTGGAACTGCTAGCTGGTGAAGGACATATTCAGTGTCAAGTTTATTATGATTGACATGAGATGGATGTGGTAGGTTTTGTTTTTCTAAAATGCGTGGAAGCCGCATTCAGGGGAAAAAGTGGAAAATCAAAGAGGATGCTTACATGGGCCCCGGTTAATTCACCAATCCAGCAGAGTGGATAGTCTTTTAACAGATCCAGCCTTTCCACTCAGTCCACCAAAATGGTGTTACTAGATGAAAAACTCCAATAATATGACCACTTTCCTTACTTTGTCCAAGAAATTGGTCTTTTTTTGAAAGGCCCATATTGAATTGTCAACCACACTATCTACCCACAACCAGAGTTTCACTGAACCTTGTGAATATACTTTTTCTCTTTATTATGTCAAAATAATGTGTTCCCTTGGTCCTTTTCAAGTTTATTTCAGACTTTCACATCTGTTAAACCCATTCTCTTCACACAGTAACTCAAGGTTCAAAAACAGATTGCCCATGAATCCCTCCTAACAGATCGTTGCAGGTGATGTGTTTGAAGAATATCACTCATCATAACCCCAAGAGGTCAAGGCTCAGACTGCTCTCCATGAGAAACCCTCCATCATTCTGCATTTCTGTGTCACACACAAGCTGTTCGCTTTCTAGAACTGGGAAATAAATACACAATCACGTCTTGTATGTGCAACACCGCCTTCCCACTGTACCGGGGCCATATACCACCCAGACGGTACCAGCTCAGGGCACAGCAAAACTCGGGTGGGCTTCCCTCGGCCAAGAGCAGGTGTGCAAGAGACGGGACACCCTTCAGTGCCATAAAACCGAAACCTCCCCCTTCCGCCACTTCTGCCCTCACTCTTTCTGGGAAGAAGCAAAGTTTTAAAACTGTTTTCTTTTCTCATGTGGGGTATCTAAATCAGTAAAAATGTTTTAAAATGGAGCTCATTATGCTCATTCCACAAGCCTGAAAATTTAGAAAAATGATGCCAAGTGGAAGTCCTGAAAAAAATAGTAATACAAGTTTGCTTGTGCTAGGAGATGCCATCCATGGTGAAACTTCAACCTGTATCTTTGCAACAGCTCACACAGTTCTCCAAAATTAAAGCATATATAAAAGTAGGGGTATGCCTCTACCCAGGAAGTCATACATGTATTTCTAACTTACAAGACAGCAAAGTGTTTCTAATGCCTCCCAACCAAACAAGATTAACTAAAACCCAAATGCACTCTGCACAGATCTCTCGACCCACAAAGACACACAGTGCTCATTACTAAGTACCGCTTTTCTTGCAGTGTTCCCACTTGAACGGCTGCCATCCTCCTGAGCTCAGAAACAGAGGAAGCATGACTGATCCCCAGACCCAGCAGTGCTGCACATGTACTGACAATTCTCAGAGATGAGAGCTAAGGCAAGACAGATTAAACTCGTATGCCAGGCTCTGGGCTAAATGCTAAATATAAATTAGGTCATTTCATCCTCACAATCACCTTTTATGGATAATTTCCATTTTACAGATGAGAAAACTAAGGCTAATATAGGTGAATAATTGGCCAATGGTTTAAGGTAGCTTTTTGGAACCTAGGCAGTCAACCTTCAAAGTTCACATTCCTTCTACTACAAATTACAGTAGTAGCACTCCAGTCGTGGGGCAGACACCAGAGCCTCCCACATGCTACTCAAAAGCTCTACTGCTACATTACCAGTCAAAGTCTATTTCTTGAATGAAAAAAATCATCACCAGGACACAAAACTCATCCTGAGGAGAGCCTTTTGCTGAACATGTGTGCTTTGCCAGCCCCTCTGTACCCCAGGCTCGAGGGTTACCTTACCCTGACAGCCCTGATAACACTGAAATGCCTTTGTGGACCATGGTTTGCCGCACCACCCCCCACTGATAAAACAGTAAGACTCCAACCTGGACTTCCAGCCTCTGGTCTGGCTCCTCCAGGTCTGGGCAGAAGTCTGCACCCAGCACTCTGCCGGCACATGCCAGTGGGACCTGGGGGAATACGGCCAGGTTAGACGCGGGCATAGAGGCTGCTGATAACCGCACACACTCGCAGGAGACCCAGACAAAAGCTGGGCACCTCAACTGCAGGTCCGACACAGCCACTGCAGCTGGACATGCATTCAACAGTTGGTATATCGAGTACATTATAAACATCAGAAAATCTACTTTTCACTAGGAGGTAAATTCCAAGGGGAAAAGACCCACAAGGATTTGTATTTACTGCGTGTAGCACAAAGTAGGCATTTAATAAGTATCTACAGACAGGAAGGAGGAAGGAAGTTGAAGACAAAGGAAATACAGAAGGGAAACCACTGAAACAGAATCTCCACTGGACATCGGTATATTCTTTCCCTTTGTCCTTTAATTATCTTCCGTAATAATTAAGTAAACTGTATTCAGTGATGCCTAAAGTTCTTTTCTACTCTTAAAACTCTTTTCTACTGTTTAAATTTATTTTCCCAGTTCTTGGTATAGGAAGGTTTATAAGTATCAATGTTCATATTTATTTATACTTACAAGCTGTGGCCAAAGATACAATGAAGAAAATTTTTAATACAATGAATATTTAAAATATTTTTTACTTTATTACCACGAAAGACACACTGCCATTAACCATCTTCAAAATGCTTCCCTTTTTTTCAAACACACTTATCATCCCACTTTCCTATATTTCTAGAAGTTCTCTCCCTTCCATGTCTTTAGCTGCACCGTCCTGGCTGCCGTGATGTCCTGGATCGATTCAACACGTTTCCCTTTCATGGCCATTTTGACTGGGAAGAGCCCGAGTCTCAGGGCACCAGATGCAGCCAGCACGGTGGATGTGGACTCACACCCATGACATCTGTACTCGACTAGAAGGGCCATACACATGTGATCAGGAAGGACGATCAAAGCTATTGTCAGCATTTACAGATTGCAGAAAAAAAAAAAAAGATTGCAGCAAAAGACACAGACCATTAAACCCCCAAAACAATCAAAACACCTCCCCTCACTTTGAACATACTTATTCCTCATTCTTCGTAATATATATTTTACTGTAGTAAGATTCTTATGTAACTAAACATTAATTGTATTTTTCAATCACCTCTTATACACGTTTACTATGTTTAAGAACCTTGAATTATAACTGTATTCTAATAAAAATGAGAACAATCAAAGTTATAACTGCATGGACATTTCTCTGTATCTAGAATTCTACAATGAAAGCCACAAAGATTCCCTTAAAAATTATACTATTATAATTAGTCAATATCATCCCCAAATATTGCCTGTCACTTACTTTAGATTTTAAGGTAAAGAAAAAAGGATTTAACGTATACCTATTTTCTGCTTCTTAAAATTTTCTCTAGGGAACTGGGGCTACAGCTCAGCAGTAGAGCACTGGCTGAGCAGGAGTACTTCGGCTCTGCGGATGAACAAGTGAAAGCACACGCACATGCACGCAGGCGTCTCGGATCACTACTCTGACCTGCAAACACGTGCACTCTTCCCTAATCATGTACCTACCTACCTACCTGTCCCTAAGTCTTACGACCTCAACGAAGCATCACCTCAACGGCATCTTCCGACATCAAAGCATTCCTTCGGTATTTTGATGTTTCTTAAATTTCAATTAAGATCATGTGTGCTAATCAATTTTCTGTGTCCAGAGATCAATCTCCAGCCAAGTAGGCTGCCTTAGGTGTTTCTCTTTTTATTTTAATTCACAAATTAGTTTACTTCTCAACACTTGACACTTCATTTTGCAATGGTGAGTAGCACCAATAAAAGGCAGTTAACTTTTCAAACATTTTCTGACCCGATGCTCTTCTTAAGTCTCTCGTTCTTTTTTCCTGCCAGTGCTTATAAGGTGGAATGGACAGAGCATCCTGCCTTTAGAGGCAATAACTGGCTCTACACCCTCCTCACGCTGCACCAGTGAAGGGAGGTCCATGTGCCAACACAAGCCAACATGTGGGCAACTTCATCTAGACTTTTCCCATGAGCAATCTTGTAAGATGGGTGCATTTCCATTTCACATGCAAAAACCTAATTTTATAGCAGACAAGTCAGAGTCACATGCACACCCAGATTCAAACTTAAGAAATGAGAAAGACTGAAAACAAGAAAGCAGTAAAAATAAATGTGAACGCATGTAGAAGACCCCGTGATATGGGCATTTACTGATGTTTCATATGAAAGATGTTACAAAGAAGACAACAGAGGGAATGAAGCAAGTGTTACCAAGAAGCAAGACCTGCTCGCTCTTTAACCTAGGGCAGCGGTGGCAAAACCTATGGCACACAAGCTACTGTGCTTTTGTTTCACGACTAAAGCTGTTAATGTATGAGTTGTTTTCATCTAAACTAAAGCCTTAGTATTCAGGTTTAATTGTAGTGTTGGCACTTTGGATAAGTAAGTAGGTTTTGGTTTCCAATTTGGGCACTCGGTCTCTAAAAGATCCGCCATCACAGATCTAGGACAACATAGGCAATGTGAAAGGGAATTTCTCCTCTAAACTGAGGAATGAGGAAGAAACTGGGTACGGAGAAGAGCAGACATTAGAAACTCTGCTGTGTCACACAAGGAAAACATGCGGATTCCACCCCTCAGTGACACACGCAGGTGTCCATACAGTAACTCTCCCTAGAGGCAACAGAAGGAAAGGTTAAAAAAAAATCAATCAGATATTCCATATCAAAATGAAATCCCCAAAAAGGCTTCCTTAAAAGGTCAACAAATGTGTCTATCAAAATGACTGAAGCAGATCCTATAAGGCAGAATGCATATACTGCAAATTGTGCGTAAACAATGCCTTATTTTACATATACAAAAGAAAATCTTACTTACCTTAATATTAGTTGACCATGTCACAAACACTAAGGTTCTAGTTCCTTTTTATCCTCACAGTCACCAAATGCACTTTATAAACACTCTCAAAAGGAAAGGAGAAAGTTAAACAACTGTAATTATATTCCATTAGAACTTCACTTAGAAATACAGCTTCTGAGAGCAAACAAAGTCTAGGAATACACTGGGGAGTGGATGGTGCCAAGCTGCCAGTATGTTTCAACAATTCTGATCACGGAAAGGAACCGGCAGGGAAGTAGGTAGCGCTTTCAAATTTAGAATCCTACAACTGGAACAGAAAAGTCCGTAAGCATCCAGGAAAGTAGGCTCCCCTATTTTAGAGATGAGGAAGCTGAGATTCAAACCAAAGCTGAAAAGGCTGCAAATAGATTATGAACGGCCCAGCATTCCCATCAGCAGCAGTGTCAACAAGTATTAGATAGGAAATTTTTTTAAATGAAAGGCAACCGTATCGCTTAATTCATAAAAACATACCAAGGAAAATACTGGAGAAATGAGAGTAGGTAACTTTGTAATTTGTCATACCTCCTTCTGCATTTTGATTTAAAAACCTTAGAAAATAGCCAGCTACCTGTAAGCAATCAAAACAGGCCTGAAAGAAACAACAGCAGAAAGAACTGTCTCACTGTTAATCCACTATAAATTAAGATAATAAAACTAACCACTGTTTGGAAGACAAATTTTAAACTAATTGAGGGGACTTAAGTTTATCCACTTTTCTCCATTTTTAGCAGTTAGTTTTAAGATATTGGGATTTTCACAAAACGTTCACAGTGATGAAGACTGTGGAGACTTTTAGCTCTTACTCTTTTGGCATCTTTGTATATTTTTTGCTTTTAGAGTAATAAAAAAATCAAATTAAAAACAAAGAAAAATAGAGAACTGATCAGCTAATATTTTCTAAATGTTATGCCACAGGTTTAACGACAGGATGGTAACTGTCCAGAACTGATGAATTTCCCTCTGCTGGGGCTTGGAACAGGAAGTGAGAGGCCTTGAGAGGGACCCCGTGGACTCCCTGGGGTGAGCTGAAGCTGAGAGCCTCTCTGTGCGCCTGCACTTACCTCAAAGAAACCGTGGTGTGTGTGAGAGCTATTTACAACTTACTATGTGTATAATCAGCAGAAACAAAAGATATGACAACAAGCATAAAGGCCTCTCAGGAGAATTCAACAGGGGAGGGCTGGTGGGCCTCCACTTCGGTGTCAAAAGGGCTTCCAGAAAACACATTTTCTGTGGGGCAGGGAGGAAATGTGGCAGGCGTCCCACCCCCACCCCACCCCACACACGTTCTTTGTTTACTAAGATCCCATATAAGAACTGTTCGGCACTGAATTTCTGAAAAAAGACATAAAACATCCCACACTGCACATGGGCACTACAGTTCAAAATATGTAAAGTTCAATGAGAGTAGAAGGTTGGCAGAAGGAAGCAGACAAAAGGAAAAGTTACAGAAATGATAATGAGGGGCGCATGTTACCATGATAGGTGGACAGAGAGCCAGAGTCCCTGTGAAATTTGATGTCACTTTCAAATAGTGAACATTCCAGGTAGGCATTTGCCTGGTCAGTACTACGCGAGGCTCAGCCTAAACACACACTGACTTTCCTGTCAGCCCACGTCTCTTCAGTTAAACTGGCTGCAGCCCAGATCAGTTCTAACCCTTTGTGCCTTGGTGAGTTCAGTCCGGCACGGTGAAGGGGTGGGGAAGCAATCAGAATCCAGGAAAAGAACAAACACGCAAGATGGCTTTGAAAAGTAGAAGGCAAGAAACAAACAACTAGGGGAAAAGTCCAATAAGAGGACTCAGGATGTGTGGGTCCAACATTCCACATCAGAAGGAACCACTGACAGAACCTGAACACAACTTCAGTTAGTTATGCAGTGCCAAGCAGCAAGAGGAAAAACCACTCCGCCAACACAAAGAACTCAGGAAGATCATTAAGGGAAATGGGTGGACGACACACTCACCAGGAGACCTTGTGAGAAAGAGCAGATAAAGAAGTAAACAAATTACCCAGCACTATGACGATGAAGACACGTGTAAAACACAGCAGCAAAATACATGGATGCAAAAACTGAGAAACAGTAAGGTAAGCTAAGTGGCTGGGTGCATGCCTCACTTGTATCTTAATTTG